ACCAAGGAGGAAGGCAATGAGAGGGGGCAAAAAAGGGAAATGGAGGAGGTTCTGGAAAAAGCCACCCTGACTCTCAGGGTAAAGGTGACAATGAAGTCAGCTTTACCCTGACTTTGTTGGATACTGGCATTCCAAGATGAGTGTCTGCCTCCTTATAGAGCCTGAAAAAAAAGTAGAAATTGTCTTGGAGAGGAAATAGTTAATTATTTAACAAACATACACTGAAGGTACACTATGTTCTCAGTCCTTTACTAATCCTCTAGGTCAAAGAGGTCACAGAGAACAAACTCTGACCTCAAGAAACTTTTAATTGGAGAGCCAAACACATAAAAATGACTTAAGAATTCAAGCAAATTATTAAATGGGATATCATAGGGCTTATATTAGAGAAGTATTTATGCTTTAGGAACACACACAGATCTTTAGACTTGGGGAATATCCAGTAATGTGCTTAGCACAGTGCTTGGCACATAAAAATGCTTAATAATTGTTTATTGACTACTTGACTGACTAACAGAAGGACAAAAATGAGATAGGTCAGGGAAGGCTTTCCAAAGAAGATGAGTGATGATGGAGGAAGGGGGATGTAGGAAAGCAGAGGAAGAGGACAGTTGAGATGGGGAGACCGGTTTGTACAAGGAAGTAGCAACTCGAGTCCTGGGGTGGCCCTGGATGTTGGAACACAGAAAGAGAGCTGGGGTTTTGATACTCTTGGCCCTTCCCCTGACCTTCAGGCTTGGGCTTGCCCAGCACCCGGAGGACCTCAGCATTGGTGGGGTTCTGGCCCAGGGCACGTAGCACATCCCCGCATTGTCCATATGTAATCTTCATCTCTCCAGTTGGTGTCCGATCAAACAGCGAGAAAGCCTCCTTGAACTCTGCAGAAAAAAGATTATGGCTAGAACCACTCTTGTGCCTAATAGAGGATCATGGATCCTGTAAACTCTCTTGGAGCTGGAAAAGACCTTAAAGAACTCTTAATCCAACCCTCTAATTTTACAGATGAGGAAACTGAGATCCGGTAAGATAAGTGATTGGTTCTAGGTCCCCCAGGGAATTGTGAGAGATGGGATTTGAGCACATTTGACAGGCGAGCCAGTGTTCTTTCCACTGTACCATAATAGTCAGGGGCTAGGTACCAAACTAGGGGCAAATAGGTGATGCAATGGATAGAGTGCTGGGTCTGGAGTCAGGAAGACGTGAGTTCAAATTTGGCCTCGGACAATTACTAGCTCTGTGACCCTTGGCAAGTCACTTAAACTTCTTTGCCTCAGTTTCCTCCTCTGTAAAATGAGCTGGAGAAGGAAATGGCAAACCACTTCAATACCTGTACAAGAAAACTCCAAATGGAGTCACGAAGAGTCAAACACAACTGAACAACAAGAAGAAGATTCTAGGGGCAGCTAGGTAGTGGAGTGGATAGAGCTCTGGCCTTGGAGTCAAGAAGACCTGAGTTCAAATCCAGCCTCAGAGACTTGACACTTACTAGCTGTGTGACCCTGGGCAAGTCACTTAACCCCAATTACCTCACCAAAAAGCAAAAAAAAAAAAAAGAAGGAGCTAGTCAGTGGGCAATCTTAAAATTCCTATACATCTCTCACCTGAGTTTGATTATGTATGATCCAAAATTAGGAAATTTTGCACTTGGAGTAAAGAGACAGGGCAGGGGAATGGAGGGGATGAACTCACCTAGGGTGCAGCCACTGAGGGACAGAAAAGATGAAAAGACATCTTTGACCTCATTAATTTAAATTCCAATTCAAAATTTGTGATAATCCCCATGGACTGAATAGCTGAAATACACATTATGCAGAAAGGACTCGCTAAATTTATTAATATTATAAAAACCCAGAATGCAGGGAGAATGTTCGAAACCACTGGAGAACAAACTGTTTTTTAAATTCTATCAAGTACTTCAGAAGCACTCACTGATTTACGAGAATTGACAAATTATAAGTCATTATAGTATTAAAGCAGATCCCTCAAAGTCATCTACCTGACATTTTACCATCCCTTCCTAGGCATTACTATTTAAAATGAAAGTGCATGCTGTCCTTTGGAAGTAATGACATTGCATTTTTTTCAGACTGTTCTCTAACTCAGACTCTTCTCTGGTCCAATCTGGTTGTCCTCCTATCCTTCCTCATTGGTTCAGTTAGTGAGATATAACTCAATAAACTAATAGATAGACTAATATGGAGAAGTAGCATGACATGGTAGCCTCAGAGTCAGTAAGAAGTGAGTTCAAGACCTGCCTTTGACACGTAATAGATGCATGACCCTGAGCGAATCTTTCCACGGTAGGCAACTCTCAGTGACCTTAAATTGCAGAAAAGTTTCCTATAGAAGAAATTTCTCACCTACAACCCTACAACTGATGAAATTATAGCTCTAGTTTTAAAAATAACACACATACATACACACACATTAGTATACTTACCCATATTTATTGAGACAATTGCTAAATAAAAATTTTGACCCAGATGGTAGAACCCTCTAAGACTACCTTATCAGTGAGAGACAGGTGAGAGCTAGGGGTGTATTCAGGTACTGGTATAGTAGAAAGAATATTAGAAGACCTGAGTTCAAATTTACTACCCAGGCTTCTCCCTGGGCCTCAGTTTCCTTCCTTGGTTTCAGAAAACCAACTTCACAAGTATAAGCTAGGGGAAGGTATGGCTAGACAGAAGTTTGTCTAAAAAAGATTTAGAAGGGGTTAGTCAACTGTAGTCAATATGAGTCAACAGTGTTCAAAATGGCAGCCTCAAAACATAATGAAATCTTAAGCTTAGTTAAAAGTTTAGGGTCCAGGATGAGAATGGTTGTCTTGGATGTTATTGGCTTTGCCTAGGTCTTGGACCCTAAGTAACTGATTAGACTATACTAGTTAATATTTTAAAAAATATGAATAGCTTTTAGTCATGGAGACACAGAATAGGGATAAACTAAATATACAAAGGCCTGCTTTTTGGTAGAATTTTATATAAAACATTTTTAAGACAGGAAGATAGCTCTTCAGATGTAATGAACTGTCAATTCCCAGCTGCTCTTATTGACCTGAGTGTATCCCCATTGGAACCTAGAAAACCATAACAGTATATCTTTGCTGAAAGTTTGCTTAAATTTCTTTACCTATTGTTGGCTTATATGGGGGGGGAGAGGAAAAGCATTTCAGGGGAGCTTGTGTTGGGTTTCCCTGGCAGCTTCTGGAAGGACCTGCACTTTAAGATGTCTAAGCAATCTCCTTATTGGCCACTAAGTAGGAATAGCTGCTGATTCAGTAGACTTTAAAAAAAGGAGTGACCCTGCCTTCAACTGACAGTGTGGGAAGCCTAATTCCTGGGTTTCTCACAAAACGTGGGGAAAGTGAAGCTCTCCTCCAACTTGGGCAAAAATGCAAAACTGTGAGCTCATGGCCAAAAAACATATATGTTTGCCAGGATGGACAGAAGGCATATACCCAGAGGGAATTATCTGAATATGGCGGAGCCAAGATGAAGAGGCAAACCCCCAAATACTTCATATTTTGGTATTTTAAGTATCACTCTTCTAGGAGAATATAACAGTAGTTTTAAGTTATTATTTCCATTTGTTTAAGCCTTTGTTCATGTGCGTTTGTGAGTTTCTAGTATGAGACATTTCTTTTGTATAGAGGAAATAAATAGCTGTTCTATACTTGATTTTACATTATATATTGAGTAATTTTGAATTCCACATTTTGGGTTGATACCCTAGTCATGAGCCAGCCTAAGATCTAAGTAGTTTTTTTTTTTCCCCAGGGATGAAGAGTGTAAAAACAAAAAGACCTTGACTCCTTTCTTTGGAGGTCAGGTTCCCCCAATGTCAAACCTGGATCCTGTGTGCTTAGAGTCAAGTGTGAAACGAATCTCTCTCTGGGACAGGGAGAGCCCCACTGGACCCAGTATCAATTAGTATTGTTACTCTCGAGGGATTATCTGAGATTTGAGGGTCTAATTCCAATCAAATCCAAGTCTTCAATCCCTTTTTTGGAGCCCTACATATCTTCAGGTATCATCTGTTTTCTAATTTTTCCCCTAAATTTACCTGTCCTATCATTAGGCGAGTTTATGCCTCCAGTTGAATGACCCTATGTTTTGCAGGGGTCAATAAGGGAAATTTTGGGTGCCCCGTGTGTTGCAAGGACCAAAAAAAGTTTTCACCAAGGACAATTTAGTCTGTTGACTGAGAGTAAGAAGGTAACTTCCAGTTAACCTTTAACCCTCTTTAGAAGAACCCCTAAATGTGCTCTGGGAGCTCATTTGAGTGTAGAATTTCTCTCTAAGAGATGAAGCTTGCTTTTTCGTTTCCTTTTTTCTATTTCTCATTCTTGTTAGTTATTCAGTTTTCAATTAAAAAATATTGTATTGGGACCTTATAAGTAATAAATAAGCACTAACCTATGATAAGCTTTGTAAAATTGAATTTGTGCATCTAGCATTGACAGGTGCTTGGCTGAACCTACAGGGTAGGGCACTTGCTGCATGGTATTTGTTCCTTCCTGTCCTGAAAACAGACATTTTGGGTTTGGGATCAGGTTCAGTCCTGGGCAGCCTGCCTCTGAGGAGTTCCCTTTTCTTTCCACTCATTAATAAATCCCCAGGGACAGTTAATTATAGTAAAAGTTATAGCTCAGAAGTCTAGGGTTTCCCCAAATAGGAGGAAGCAAAAAGGGTATTCTATGTATAAACATGAATTGGGTATAAGACAGCATAATCAATTGCTACACAGCAAGAAATACTTAAGAATTGTAGCTTTCATTAACAGAAATACCAGGATTTAGTAACCTAACTTATAACTCTTGCTACACTTGGCTAGGAGGCTAATATTTAAGCATCATAAGGACATAGAACAGTTTTGCAAGAACACTAATCAAGCAATCTATATTTCACCTCAGCATTGCACTGTCCAACCACTCCCAAGAGCTGTCTGCTTGTTAAACAGACCAGGCTTAGGCCAATCCTCCTGTCAGTGGCCATTACTCCATCATACTGAAGTTCCTCTTTCTGTCAAGCACTGTCACTCTGGGGATACCTCTGCCATGAACTCAGAGGCCTCCAGGATTTTCAGACATCTAAACACCCAAGATATCAGAAAGGAAATATAAAAGAGGCAGAGGCTGCCAGAGACCAACACATAAGTTCACCTAGTTGTGGTGCCTGGCACTAGCTGCCTATGTCTGACATGGTCTTCCTCTTCACCTTAACTTAGTGTAATTCCCAGTACCCGCGGAGGTCCAGCCTCTTAAAGAGGTTTTTCTTATTTCTTCCAGATATTAGTACTTTACCTGACACACATGAAGTTATTTATTTTGCATACATTTCACCTTTACTCATGTTTACATGTTGTTTTTGTCAAGTAGACTTTAAGGTTTCAGTGAGCAGAATCTCTGTCATTTTTATCTTTGTGGTCTGGCACCTAACAGTACCTGACACATTTAGGTGATTCTGTGATCAAATAAGAGTATTTTGTGATTGAATTCTATTTCTAAGATTCTGTGATTCATCTGAAAGATAGGAGGGTTGAGACTTAAAGGTAAGACTTATGATTTCATTGGTATAGGGAACACCTGGAGGAGGAAATGCTCTACTTAGAGAATTGCCCAGTACACTGAGAAGTTAAGTGACTTGCCCAGGATTACACAGCCAATATGTATCAGAGGCAAAACTTGAACTCAGGTCCTTCTGGCTCTATAACCTGCTCTGTCCACTATGTTGTCTCTCTAATGCAGGGATTCTTAATCCTTTTTGTGACATAAAGATATCTTTGGCAGTCTGGTGAAACCTATGGACCCCTTCTCATAAGGGCTTTTATGTGCATTAAATAAGATGAATGATGGCAGCCAGGTGGCACAGTGGTTAGAGCATCAGGAAAACCTAAGTTCAAATCCAACCTCAGACACTAACTAGCTGTGTGACCCTTGGCAAGTCACTTAATCCCATTTGCCTCAGTTTCCTCATGTGTAAAGTGAGCTGGAGAAGGAAACGGCAAACCACACTACTATCTTTGCCAAGAAAACCCCAAAGGGGGGTCACAGAGTCAGAAATGACTGAAAAAAGACTAAAAAACAACAAAGAAGATATATAGGCTCACAAAGGAAATTAATTATGTGAATATACAGTTATCAAAGTATTTTTTCATGGACCTAAGATTAAGAACTCCTGCCTTAAATGATCCTTTGAAAAATCCTTCTAATTCTAAAATCCCATGACTCTATGCACATGTGACACCCCCCAACTCTGGTAGACCCCCTACACAATTATTAATGAAATTCTGTTGAGGAAATTTAGAAAGGAGAGGGGGAATTCAACCATGCCCTACTAATGAACCGGTTTCTCCCTATGTTCCCTCGGGGCTTAATGCGCAGACTGGTAAGTGCCCAAATTGATTGTGAGTCAGCCAGTGTGGCTGTGCTGTGAAAAATTCAGCCTAGTCCTGGGGTTTATTTAAAGGAGCATGACAAACACCCACGGGCCAAGTACTAATCCCTCCTCGGTACTCTGCATTAGTCAGACTTTGATTTGAGCGCTCTGCTCGGGCCACTTTTGGTCACCATACTTTAAAAGGTTCAGGGAATGGGGATAGGCCCAGAGAGGGAAAGTGTCTCAGATGTGGAAAGGCTATTAAAAGGATCACATCATTTAGCTTAGAGCAGGGGTTAAGAGGTAATTTAGTGACTCTCTTCTTCCATTTGAAGGGTTTTCAGAGGAGGGTACTGAATAGAACATAGACTGTCAGGGCTAAAAGGGACCCCAGGGATCATCTAACCCTACCTTCTTATTTTACAGGTAAAGAAATGGAGGCCCAGACCGGTTGAGTGACTGGCTCACAGTCACACAGCCAAACTGGTGGCAGAACTTGGGATTAGGATCCATCTGTTGACTCCCGGGCTACAGCTCTCTTTACAAAGCCACATGCGGACAGTTCTTTGTGTCCAAAGATCAAACGAATGGCAATGGGTCAAAATTGAGTCAGAAGGGATTCCAGTTGGACACAAGAAAGGCATTTTCATGGTCAGTGACAATCCGCTGTAATGGGCTAGTGAGTCATAAACCCTGACGATAATCAAACAGGGGTAGCGTGTTATAGTAGAAAGAACGCTAGAGCCAGAGACAGAAGACCTGGATTTGAACCCCAGTTTGCTACTCGTTAACTGCATTGCTGTTGTTATTGCTCTGGAGCCATTTCAGTCGTGTCTGACTCTCTGTGACCCCATCTGGGGTTTTCTTGGCAAAGAGACTGGAGTGGTTTGCCCTATCCTTCTCTAGTTCATTTTACAGATGAGGATACTGAGGCAAACAGGGTTAAGTGATTTGCCCAGGGTCACACAGCTAGCATCCGAGGCCGCATTTACCCACCAAGAGGAATGTTTCTGATTCCAAGGCCAGTACTCTATCCATTGCACCACCTAGATGCCCTTGTTAGCTGAGTAGCCTTGAGTATATCACTTCAACTCTCTGGGGTTCAGTTCCCTCATTTACAAAATGAAACACAGCCTTAGGCTTTGATCTCTAAGGTTCCCCTCCATATCTGAATCCTCTGACTCCTTTGCAGTGGCTAGCTCAGAGTTCCAAACATTTTAAAGATGTAGCATCCTGCCACAGTCTGATTCTGCAACCTTCTCTCACATACAGGTGAATTTTTTAAAAATTAGTTTTAGCTTTAGAATTTCCCAGTACCCCATGGAGAAACTTTGGAATATCACAAAATCAGAGCTAGAATCACTCCTTTAAAAACAGACATAAGAACCTTCTATTGTATATTTTGAATGGTTCAATCTATTGTATTGAATCAAACATCAATCCTCTGACTCCAAAGCCAATGTTTGTTTTTCTTCCCGTTTTTTTTTTTTAAGGTAATCGGGGTTAAGTGCCTTGCCCAGAGTCATACAGCTAGTAAGTATTTGAGGTCACATTTGAACTCAGGTCCTCCTAACTCCAGATCCAGTGCTTTATCCACTGTACCATCTAGCTGCTCCTGTTTGTTTTTCCATTTTACCTTGATGCTTCGCTTACCTACCTGAAAGCCAGAACCCTCTTCATTTTCCTCACCTTCCCTCCCCGGCTTCCTTCAAGGCCTAGATGAAATCCTACCTTCTCCAAGAAGCCTTTTCCAATCCCCCTTAATGCTACTGCCTTCTCTTTGTTGAATATCCCCAATTTATTCTCTATCTATGCTTTGTTTGTACATAGTTCACACGTTTGCTCGTTGACTGTCTCTTTTCCTTCTTTATATGCACAGCAGGTGGCCCAGTGCCTGGCACAGTGGAACCACTTAATAGATGTGTATTAACTGACTTGTTGACAAACTGGGCCAGATGATCTCTCAAGGTTCTTTCCAGCTACAAAAGTATAAGATCCTCTGTCTTTAAGGCATTTATGTAGCTGAAGGGGGTCCCTGAAATCAGAGATAACCATGACAGAGGCACCCTCCTTATCTCTGAACCAGTGTGTTGGCACCAGGTGATGGGTGATATCATTCTTCACAGTTTTAAAGTTGCATTGCCTCCTGGTCCCTAGGGACTTCACTGTGGACGGAGGCCCTGAAGCTGGGATGTACTGAAGTCCATAAAGGGAAGAAAGAGAATATAAGACAAGTAAGTCATTTACATGGGCTGATGGGAGGGTTTAGGAGAGTTCAGTATTAAATTTGCTAACCTAGTACAGGTCCATTCCGGAAGACTTTGTAGTGGGAGTTTGGGAAAGGTGGTAGTGATATCAGAATTGCCTTGGACTGGATGAGGTGGGAGTACAGGCAAACAAAAAACAAAAACAAAAAAAAAGGCTCCTCTACTCCAAGAATCGGATGGAGTAAAACTTTCTCCCAGGACACTGAACCCCGGACAAGATATAGTTCATCAGCTTGGATAGAAGAGGATCACAGCAACTGGCCATGGCCACTTCTTAAGGTTTTGAAATAACTTGGCTAGAGGACTAAGCAACTGTCAGAGGTTCTGGAGACTCTTGGAAGATCCAGACAGGCCCTCTCTAGGGAGGTGTTAGTTCTCATCGAGAAAGGGGACAGAGGCCACAACAACAGCAGGGAAGGAGGGGTAGTACTCACCTTCTATCTGGTCAGCGGTGAAATCAATCTGTGAGGAGGGAGAGAACAGAGTGGTGAAGGCCACCGACTGGAAGGAAACTCCAATTATTGTATTATAAAAGGTATGACGGATGTGAACCTGGACCTCCCTAGATGCTGGCTAGCTGAGGAGCAAGCTTATGGTATATTCCATGGAAAAGAATGGAATGGGAGAGAAAAGGAAAATGGAGGGGTAGGGAGGGGACCAGTGAAGGGGGAGGGGGGCAGATAAGGGAGAAGGAGGAGTCAAGAATGACTGAGAGATTACAAACCTCAGTGATTGGAAGGATGGCAGTATTCTCACACAAATAAATAAGTTCATAAGAAGGGTGGATTTGAGGATAAAGAAAATTAGTTCTGTTTTGGACATTCTGAACCTGAGAATTTCTCTCACTTTCATCCCCTTCTCTCCACTCACTTAGCCACCACCTGAGTTTTGGCCCCCATCACCTCTTGTCTAGACTTCTACAATAACCTAACTGGTTTCCCTGCCTCAAGGCTCTCCCTATTTCAATGTATAATTCACTGCCAAAGTGATTTTACTAAAACAGAAGTCTGACCATGTCATTCTCCTACTTAATAAATTCCAGTGGCTCTTTGTCAGCTCTAGAATGAAACATAAGATCCTCAGTTTGGCATTTAAAGCTCTTACCTTTCTGGCTTTAGTATACATTATTGCCATTCATATACACTGTACTCCAGCCAAACTGGTTTCCTTACTGTCTGTCATACAATATACTTCATCTCCCATCTCCATGTCTTTGCAAAGGCTGTTCTCCATGCCTGGAACACACTGTCTTATCACCTCTATGTCTCAGAACCTCTAGTTTCCTTCAAGACCCACCTCAAGCCCCTCATCCTATATTAGGTCTTTTCTGATTTCCCCAAGTCTCCTAGCACCCCTCTGCAAGAAAGGAAGAAAGAAAGAGGAAAGAAAGAAAGAAAGAAAGAAAGAAAGAAAGAAAGAAAGAAAGAA